CATGACAGAATAATGTGTGTGTGTAGATAGTGAGTAATTGAACTGCAGTCAGAAGTATTGTTGACGTTCGTTGATATAGCGTTTGTTTTAGCGCGATTGTTGAAAATAAGTGTGTCGTAAAGTTATATTCAGAAAGAATAAACCAATTTTATTAAGTAAGGACTTGTGTCGCTAAAGTTTTGTCGGAACGAAGTTACGGAAAATTAATTAACAAACGGAGACGTAACAGTTTGTTCCATTTTAAAAAATAACCGCCCGGCATGGCCAGGTTGGAATCCCCGTCCAACCAAACACGGGGCATTATAATGTGACGGTCAATCCTACTATCTGTTGATAAAAGAGTAGCCCAAGAGTAGGTGATGACTAGCTGCCTTCCCTGCTAAATTAGGGACGGCTAGCGCAGATAGCCCTCGTGTAGCTTTGCGCGAAATTCGAAATAAACAAACAAGTCATAAAAAAAGTCAACTAGTGGGTCAGCGGTAAGCTTACGGGCGTACAATGCTAAAATACGGGGTTCGATATCCCGTGGAAGAACAACACATAGATAGCTTATTGTGTAGCTTTGAGCTGAAATAAACGAATTGACAAAAAGAAAATTGCACTAGTAGATTGAATTGATATCTGAAAAGTCTGTTAAATCCTTTTACTTAAATTACATCTTTCACCTAAACCTCATTTTTAAACAAAAACAAACAAACTTACTAACTAAGTAAAAGCAAGGATCTATAACTTGCTGTTCTTCTTTTCAATAGAAGTATAAAAGATAAATAATCCAATAGACTAAATATATATATGTGTATGTGTCTCACTAACGATTTTAAATATTTTTCTAAGATTTCAGATAACCATGACGTCTGTGCTTAGAGTTAAAGGAACACATCAAAAATAAAATATAGCGAAACAAAAAGTATTTACAGTTTTATTGTATTCTAATTAATAAAAGTCTTTGTTTGTTGTAGTTGTTATGTTACTTTTTTTCCATAAAATAAAATGTCAATTATAAACATTGCATGAAAACATTTCCTTTTCCAGTGAATCGTAATATTCATGGGTACATAAAAACTGTTGGAAAGTAATAACAAATGCATTGAATATAACTATTAGTCATTAAAAATAGAAATGTTTGTCATATAACTTACATTTTATTGTGCTTTATCATGATATTCAAGTTATAACCAAATTTATCTTGGCAATTCAATATTATATTATTAAGAATATCTTTTTTGTTAATTTTTACGACCTTTGTGTAATACATTTTTAAAGATATATACAACTCTTTTCTTTATCTATCACTTCTGAAATAGTGCAGGTATTTTTTTAGGCTGGACATATGACACTTTCTTGGAGCTGTAAGCATGTACATATATTGATTTTCTCTTCTTAAAAAACGTAAAATGTTAACACTGGTTTTAAATAAATTCCAGTCAATTAATTATCTTGGCGAAGCGTGATATATTAATCGTCAGTTTAAATTTCAGTTTATTTCAGTGAGGCTTAAAATCTAACTATGCTAACGATAGCTCGGCTTTTTGAGGGGGGGAAGTATGTAAAATGTATGATTTAGATTTTTAAAAATATTAAAATTAACAAAATTTTACATTTGAAATATGATTTTAATTATACACACATATATTAAACTTTATTCACAACGCGTTCTTAAAGCCAGCCCTCTTGTGGGAATCAGTCGAGCTATTAAACGTTCTCAAAATGGAAGCTGTGTTGAGTAAGGTTCAAAGTCGAACATGTTTAGTAATACATACGAAAATTATCTAGTATCGTTGTGCAATTATTAAAAATGAAGAGGTGATATAATGAAGAAAACTTCCGAGCCATTTGCAGGGGTAAAGCATGATCATTCAGAAGTTTCTCGACGACTGTATAAGTGAGTTTTTAAAACTTAAACATTGTTGCCAATGTTGCCGTGTGATGGAACATTTTCTATAAAAAAAACAAAAAAAAAACGACTCGGGCATACATTTCTGTAGATACGACCTAAAATCCCATTTGCCCTACCACTAGCATCAGCACATTGCTTAAGAACACCAAGATCTCTTTCTTCCACAACATTGTTAGTTATTCCAATCAAAATTATACTCATAATTCAAATTATGATATACCACATGAATTACCTTGCATTTATTATAATTAAATACCATCTGCTATTTATTTGCTCAACTCACTAAATTATCTAAATTATTTTGTAAAGCAGTAGCCAGCAACACCCAAACTTTTATGTCATCAGTAAATTTAAATAATCTATTGACCATTTCTTCATGTATGTAAATCAAAAAGTGCAACGGTCCTAACACTGACCTCTGAGGTACCTCTCTTATGACATTAAACCAGTTTGACTAAACTCCATTTAAAACCTTCAGCTTTCTTCCATTTAGCCAATTTTCTAACCAAAGATAATTTTGTTAACAAGACTTTTATGTGGCACCATGTCAAATGCTTTCTGGAAATCCAAATATGCCAAATTCATGCCCAAACCCTTATCTAAGTAAGCAGTAACTTCTTCAAAGATAGTAAGACAAGTTTTTCCCTTAGTGAAACCATGCTGATTATCCAGAAAAAATTTTAAACTTTGTTAAATTACTTAAAAACATCTTTTACCAGAGTTTTAAAACCTTTTCTAATCATTAAGACTAATAAGCCAATAATTATTAGGATAATTTTTATCATTTCCCTTGAAAAGATTTTTATTAGTCAACTTCCAATATTCAGGTGCCTGCCCATTATTCAATGACGTAAAAATGTGATCAAGTGGCTACATATCCAACTCTTAACCTCATTTAAAAACCTTGGAAAAATTTATCTGACTCAAGGTCCTTATCATTCTTTAAACATCCCAATTTTTTCCTACAAGCTCAATATTAATGTGGTTTTCTTATTAAATCTTGTTTCCATCTAACACTGTTCAGGATGACAAACATAGCTTAAAACTCCATTAATAGAAATTGAATAAAAAGTAAAAATTAGTAACCAGCAATCTCATATGCATCAGAAATTAGCCCTTCTTTGTCGTCTCTTAAAAACTGTACTCCCATCCTAACATTTAGAATGTATATACTAATAATTAAGCTATATAGTATATGCTTTTTAATTTCCTGTATGAGGTGCCTACAGTGTTACAGGTTATATTTCAAAATAGGATGCAAGTTAAGTGATTGTTACAGGTTATATTTCAAAATTGGATGCAAGTTAAGTGATTTTTACAATTATTGCTATATACTGTTTTAAACAGTTTTACCTTGCATTTAGTCTTTTGTACTTTGTACAGCTTCACTCTATGGTATGTTTAGTGCCATATTTTTGTTTCAATGTTGCTTTTACTCATTTTCTTCCTATGTATCCACTTGATTACTTGATAAAAAATTCACGTATTTACTTCTTAGAGATGCATGCCTAAAGACGTTTTTTAGTTGTTCAATTTTGATTACAGTTTATTGTGAATAAGTTTTACCTCATAACCACTCTCATGCATTTACAATATTCAAATAAACAAAAACCTGAAAAAGAAGCCTATCATGCTTAAGTCTTTAAATGGGCCTGTTGTTGTATGGCAGTCATATTGGAGATGTGACATAAGATGTGCAAATTAGGTCAAATTTTTTGCACAGTTTGAATCTTCAGAGTATACTAAACAGTTGTTTCCATGTGTGTTTTGGACTATTTCAAATGGTTTTAGAGGTATACTTGAGCTAATTAATCATGTATATAAGTCTGAATATACTAAAAAAAGTATGTATCTAAAGAGCTACTATATATATGGAAGGAACTCATTGATGTAACTTTCCCACCCCTGGAGACATTAATCTCATCACTCAGATGATTCGAGCAAATCCAGTGAAAAAAACTAGAGTTGAGGTTCATGACTGGTCAAAGGTCCAAGAGTCTTTTAGCTCCATGCTCTATATGCTTTCAAACAAGATGTTTTGGTGGCTTTGTAAGGTATTATGTGATTAGTAACTTGCAGAGTTTCTGGCCAATCCTGGGACAGATTGCTTTGTCAATACTTTAGGGAGATTCTATTCACACCATAAAACTCACAAAACAGTAAAGGTTTTGATCATAAATCTCTTGCTTTGTCATGTCTATGATTGAGTGGAATAAAGATTCCCATCATGTAACGGACACTGATTCTTCACTGAAGAACAAATTCAGATGGTACTTGCTGGAAAATAAATTGTACTTGTGAATATTAGTGGAGCTGGTAAGACCAAAGTTTGTAGAACTTCCACTTCTAGAATGGATCCGTAAGCTAAATATTCTAGGAATGGCCAATTGCATAGCATGTGAAACTATCATTAACTATGGATTAAAGGGCTGTTAAAACATTGTGAGAGTGCAGAACCAGTAAAGCTCTCAGGATTAGGACACCAGCCTTAAGTACTGATGCCAGCACTAGCAGTTCTACTTCTGGTGGGCAGTCTGGTCCAAGAAACTATAGCATACAACCACTTTATTTCCTAAACTACAACACAGGGGAACCACCCAAAAAGCTGGCTATAGTGAAATCTGCCATTTATTTATCATAATAAATGACGTATGATATTAAAGAGTATTACGTTAAGTCAGTTGTCTCTCTTGATAAAATATGAAACAATTACAAACTTAACATATTCTAGAACACAAAAAAGTAAATTTACTTTAGAAACAATTTCACTTTGGATATCTTGAAAATAACATGGTGAACTAAAACATTTCAAGAAAATATTATACTTATGTTTATTTCTATATCCTTTGCTATCTTAAGATGTACGTGTAGACTTTTTTTGGTTCAAACAATTACATGTGTGAAGTTTTGTCTTAATTTTAATATCAACATGCCTTTAACATTTGTAATGCAGGACATTTAAATAATTTCGTATATACTGTAAAAACTTGAAAAGATTAAGTACTGTTCAAGACTTAAGTTTTTATCTGTAAATTACTTCTGTTTCAGGAAAAAGATTCTAATACATGCCATTTTTTGAAAAAGTTTCACCTTCTGAAAAGGAGTACATTCTATCGTCACAGTTTCATCCTTTTTAACGTTTTTTCAGTGACATTCCTGGGGACTACATTATCAGTCTTTTAATTTCTGAGTGAAGTATGACTCATCATGTAAAAATAGTTCACTTGTACAAAGTTTTTCACAGGTCTTTTCTCTACAGCTGTGGTATTTGCCACATGATAGACATGGAGTATTAAATATTTATTACCTTTTACACCCATGACTAAACTTAGTTATCTGTTCCTTGCTATACCAAAATATCCTACTCAGTTATAAAGTATTTATAATTTTTGAAAGTTTCGCACTGTATTTTAGTGAACATGCTTCATGAGTATTAAATTTTGTATCATTATTACACATGTAATTTGCCAACATCTTGAGAAGTTATGCCATATATTCTCACACAAACATAAAAGATCAGGCAACAGAAGGCCAATCAGCTCATCAGTGTTTCCTAACAAAGTATCCAGTCCAACCTAAATGTTAGCCAGAGGATATTTCACCAGTATGTCAAATAGTGAAATCCTTCTATTTTCTTTAACCATTTTGGTTGCTGAAATGATTTAATATATGTAAGCAATATATCATGAACAAAGATAGATGTAAAAAAGTGTTTGCGGCCTAAGTGCATGAAACTTTATTTGAAACTATCCTTAAATAAAAAACTTTCACAGAATGATTGCCTTTCCAGTTGTTGCAGTTAACAAAGTTTTAGCTCAGTGTTGTTTGATTTACGTCATTTTTCAACAAAAACTTGAATTCATTCTAATTCTTAAACTTTCTGCTTTCATACACATATTAAAATCAGTTGAAAAAAGAAAAGCAAAAAGTACCAGACAATAATAGTGAAAAAATAGAAAGAAGAAAATGTAGCAAGACATAACTGCAATGGCAAATTGAAAAGTTATTTATTTGTTAATTTAATTTGTTCTGTTTGACATATTTTCTATTTGTGTAAAGGGGTGCACTGGATACAGCTCGCAGACTTGAAGAAAGAATTCGAGTAGTGTCATCTTTACAAGAGCTTCTGGGTCCTGAGGTGACTGCATTAAGAACTAGGTTTGTGCAGTATGTTTGTTGTGGTGTCTTGTAATAAAATATATGTGAAATAAGTAAAAGAGAATAAACATTTATTTGTAATTTTTCTAAAAAAAGTGTATTATTTTTTGATGTAATAGATAAGAAATTGTTTTTGTTATAAGATGGAAAACATTTTTGCATTTTTTATAAATAAATTTATTATACACTTTGTTTAGCCATACAGTTAATGCTTGGTCTTTATTATTTTGGTAGTTATCACAAAATATGTTTATTATTCCTATTGTGATTACTGGGTTTTATTTCAAACAAGAAGAATAGTTTATTAACAGTGTCATAACTACTGTCAGAAATTATGTAAATATGTTATAAACCCATCTTAAAAAAATTCTGTTTACACTTAAAAAACCTTGTGTGAATAAAATTAAATAAAATTTGAAGAATCGCCAGAAATAATGTGTCTTGAACTTACACATTTTAATGAAATTTATATGCCTGGTTTTAATTCTAATTATTTTGCTTGAGTTACTGAATTTTATTCAGTATTTTCATTCTTTTTAAACAATAAATTTGTAAAATAAAATCTTGTGTACTATATTTCAACTTAATGTAAGACCTGCATGTTAATTCACAGGTGACATATGCAAAGAAATAGAGCTGGGTAATTAACTCAATTAATCAATATAATTCATTACATTGATTAGTGTTGTAAAATAATTAATCAATTGGTGTCACAAAAATAATCAACTGATTACCAATATTTTCATTTATTCCAACTATCCAGTGATCAAAATTACACTGAATATCACAAAAATAATCAGCTAGTTGAAATTAGTTTTTCCAATTATTTCAATTATCCAGTACTCGAAATATTGCAAGTATGATGTTTTATTACTTTCAACGAATTCAGTTTTGTTGAAAATAATTCAGTAATTGAAATTAGGGTTTCTGATTATTCCAACTATCCATATAATTGAAATGTTGCTAATATGTTTGTTTTCAAGAACAAAGTTACACAAATGGGCTACCTGTGCTCTGTCCACTGCGAGTATCAAAACTCAATTTTAAGCATTATAAGATTTGTTTTTAGTTTCTCATTGGAGAATAATAGGCGATTTTTTTTATTAATTATGAGAATAGTCATTAATTTAATGTAAGCAATTAATAAGCCCAACAATTAATTGATTAGCAAACTCCACTAATCTCCCAGTAAAGAATGTACAAGGTCTTCTTCCACACCTTACATGATTTGTAGTGACTGCAAAATGGCATTTCATAACAAATCTACCCTAGACAAATTTTAAAGGTTTATTCAAAATTATGCAAGTCAAGCTTTGAAATCGTGTGACAGACAGCTGTGTCGCATTATATCAGTTTAACAGGATGAAATTAGACCTTGTACCATGTATTGTGATAATTTAAAACTCTTGAATTGTAATTATATCACCAAGCAACAAAACTACATCAAGTTAGAGAGAAGTGTTAATCTGTAGTTCTCATTTTTGTTATATAGACCTAATCCATAATCTCACAAGACTTTATCTTTGAAAAAAAAACAATGCCAAGCTTTCAGTCTTTTTTGGAAAAATTAGTACTGTTGATATGTTATGAATGTTTTAGTATTGATACCTTTTCTAAGGATCTTCTGGATTTCATAGTTGCAGATTTTACATGTAGTTGTAGAACATTTATATGGTTTTCAGTATTTAATGCAAAAATGGCCAGTTTTCTACAACTTAGTTTTGGATGACACTTGTGGTTTCAATGTGTAGTTAAAGAATATAGATACAGCTTCAGTATTCAATAAAGTATTGGCTAGAGTTTTTATGACATAGTGTGAATTACACACTAGTTCAGTTTCTGACTGTAGTAAAATATATAAAAATTATGAATTTTTAAATTCAAAACAGTAATACAATTTGTTTTCAGTTCAGTTTAAATAAAAAACTGAAAGTTACTATTGTGTATAACTTTTTTAATTCTTACATATAATTCTCAAATGAATTCTGTGCATTTTGTCACACTTGACAAATCAAACTTGACACCAAACTAAAACATTTAGTACTGATTTCAATATTTTGTTAAAATATATTAAATGTGTAGAAACGTAATGAATTACAAGTAAACATGTTTTTGGTAGGTTGAAAGATTACTGCGAGAGACTAATGTTTTCAGATCCAGTGGAATATGGCCGTAAAGCCGAGGAACTTATGTGGAGAAAAGTATATTATGAAATCATACAGTTGAGTAAGCAACATCAAAAGGTAAATCTATCAATATGTTTTGTCACTGTACTTTTTTGTAATATGTATTTGTGAGAAAATTTTGTTTAATAAAAATTTAGCTATATTAGTATAAATTAATTGTTATTGGATATCATTTCAACAAGTTTTAAAATGTTTAAGTTAATTGTTTTTAATTTTACAAAACTATTCAATACAATAGAAATTGCAATTTTTTTAATAATCACCCTCAAAATTAGGCTCTGCATAAAATGAATTATTACTGTTACCAGTTACCATATAGAAAAAGTATTAATTTAACAAAATAAAAAGTGTGTAATATTTATATTGGTGTGCAAAAACATATTACATTTTTGAACATGCTGCTTTTAACACATTTTAAAGTATATTTTATTGTTTTCCCGATTTGGTTAATAGGCATAGTCACATTATAATGTTTTTAATGTAATTTTTTTATTAAATTAAATATTAGTGAGGCATAGCTGTCAATAATATCCAAAATAAAATTATTTTTTTGTAGTTTCTATATAGTATTTTTCTTGAAACATTTGGGTTCAATAAATAAACTTATCTACAAAGAAAGTTTTTTATCTTTCTTTTTTTTTTGGTCAACAAACATTAACATTTTAACTCCCAGGTTTAAATGTTTTATGATTCAGAGTTTCGTTGTTGTTGCTGTTTAAAGTCAGTGATTGAATAAAAAATATATTTTATGCATTTTTTTGTTATTTAACATGGAATATTGTTAGTTGAAATATTAATAAATTTACAATTCTAATGAATGAAAAAGCCAATTTTATATATATATATATATATATATATATTTGTTCATTTATATATATTTTAATTAACTTATTTATATGTAGTATGAGGAAACCAA